CTGTGCGAGCTTTTGTGCCGAATACATTTCATTGTTACAGGTGTCAAGCTTATGGGCATTTGGCAGCAGTGTGTAGGAGGGAGGTTTCTAGGTGTGAGAAGTGTGCAGAAGGGCATGAGACAAAGGAATGTGTAGCATTGGGGAAAGTAGTGGTATGTGTTAATTGTAGGGGTGCCCATGGGGCTGGGGATCAGAAATGTCCCATGCAAGAGAGGCAGGTTGAGGTTTCCAGGGTTAGAGTAGTGAAGAAGACGTCATGCTGAGGCAGTGAAGAAAGTAGAGGAAGATGGGTCAAGGGGGAGGGATCCTGAGAGGAGTGGTGTGAGTAGTAGATCTGTACCAGTACAGAGGGATAAACCAACAAATGATATATGTTTCAGTAAGATTGGATTTTTAACATTTATAGCAATGGTTATCAACTGTACTGCAGGGATGGAACGTAAGTCGCAGAAAATTGAGGTTACGGTGGCAGCTGCAGAGAGGTATTTGGGTGTGCGAGACTTGACATCAGAAGAGTTACAGGGTGTGTTAAATGGTGATGTCCCATCCTTTCAGGCTATTGGCATGAAGTAGGACTAAATAGATTTAAATAGTGGAGTATGGTGGTGTTATTTTTTTTATTTTATTTTTTGTGTGATTGTAGTGTTAGATGGTAGGGTATTTGTTTATTTATTTTTTCAAGCAAAGTATAAGGGAGTTGTACTCCAGTCCAGTAGGTGGCAGTAATGCAACATTTATTGGCTGCCAACCGCCGTTAAACCTCATCGAAGAAGAAGAAGAAGAAGCAGCATGGCCCGTGTAGCTCAGTTGCTAGAGCATGGCGCTTGCAACACCAGGGTTGTGGGTTCGTTTCCCACCGGGGGGCCAGTATGAAAATGTATGCACTCACTAACTATAAGTCGCTCTGGATAAGAGCGTCTGCTAAATGACTAAAGTGTAAAATGTAGTGACGGTACAGCAAAAATATAACTGGGTGAGTTGGCATGGCAGGAGGCGAATTGGGGCTTCTTGAGGAAAAAGATGGCGGAAGAGGATGATGAAGTGGATTCTGAATCTAATGGCGGTAAAATCAAGAAGAATTTGAATATTATCCAAAATAACGTTTTGGTCATGTTTCAAGTGTTTGCAGAAGGGAGAAGCCGAGCTGTCCAAGTTGTGGAAAAGGTCATATTATGTGTTATAAAAGTGATGAAAATGTGACATGTTGTAATTGTGGTGAGAACCTTGAAGCCACGTCTATTGAATGCCCCACAACGGTGAAAGAGAATGAGGTGGCCAAAGTCAGGGCTGTCCAGAGCATATCATATGGTTTGAATGGTGCACTTGAAGAGTCCATGGTGGTGGATAGGCCTTCACTGCATGCTGCAGGGGTTGCCTTTCACCAGCAGGATCCTGACATTTTAAAGGTTAAGAAGGTGGACTTTGTGGCCTTAATAGCTATGGTGATTAATGGCACTGCCAAGGTGGAGAGAAGGTCCAGGAAGATAGAAATCATTGTGGATGCGGCGGAGCGGTTCCTGGGGCTGAAAGATTTCTCGGTGAAGGAGTTACATGGAATATTGGCACAAGCCTTACCACCCTCTCAGGGCCTAGAGCCTGAGAAGGGAGATTTGGAGAACTAAAAGAAGGAAGAAATGGGAGTTTTGTTTTGTTTTGTCAATGTACTATTTTTATTTGGGTGGATTAAGTTAGTATCCCTATTACGTATGGATTTTATTTTTTACCTTGTTTTGGTTTCAACCCGTCCAGTTGCTCGAGGAATGGACTGGGTCCTTTAAACGGGCTAGGAGGGGCTTTCGAGTAGAGAGAGAGGTTGTTGTATGTAAACATGTGGTTGTCCAGGATCCAGTTGCAGAGGGAGGTGTTTAGTCCCAGGGTCCTTAGCTTAGTGATGAACTTTGAGGGCACTATGGTGTTGAACGCTGAGCTGTAGTCAATGAATACCATTCTCACATAGGTGTTCCTTTTGTCCAGGTGTGAAAGGGCAGTGTGGAGCGCAATAGAGATTGCATCATCTGTGGATCTGTTGGGGCGGTATGCAAATTGGAGTGGGTCTAGGGTTTCTGGGATAATGGTGTTGATCAGTCTAGCCAGGAATCATGTATTGGTTAATTTGCATTATGGTGTTAATCCTTCAATGGAATGCCAGAGATGTTATGGCTAATGGGCAAGAGTTCAAACAGTTTCTTGCGGAGTTACCAGCCAAACCTGATGTGATATGTCTCCAGGAGACGTGGCTAAAACCTACTCTAGATTTTGGTTATGTTGCAGTCCATAGAGATAAGGTGGCAGGGGGAGGGTGTGATACCTTTATAAAGCGGGGGATCCCATACAGGTGTGTGGGAGAGGGAGTTGAACAGGAGTATGTAGAGGTGTGGTTGGGAGGGGGGAATATGGTAATAGTGAACTTTTACAACCCGTGTAAGACTGGAGTTGCTGGCCCTAGGGGATATAGAAGGTCAAGATAGGAGACGGGTAATGTGGTGTGGGGATTTTAATGCTCATAGTACGCTCTGGGGAGGGTTACGGACTGATGTAAACAGACAAGTGTTGGGGGAACTGCTGGATGAGAAAGGGCTTGTGAGTCTTAATGACGGCCGGGGAACCAGGCTTGATCCAGTAACTGGAAATGAATCTGCTCTGGATTTTACTTGGATCTCAAGTTCAATGGCAGGCAGATGTAGTTGGGAGGTTTTGGAGCAAGGCAGGTGATTCCTATGGGTACAGGGGGGAGAAGGAGCAAGGCAGGTGATTCCTATGGGTACAGGGGGGAGAAGGAGCAAGGCAGGTGATTCCTATGGGTACAGGGGGGAGAAGGAGCAAGGCAGGTGATTCCTATGGGGACAGGGGGGAGAAAGAGTAACGCTGTTCCCTGGTGGACTGAAGAGTGTAGAGAAGCAGTGAAGTGTCGGAATAATCTGACAGAAGAGGGGCAGCGTGGGAGAGAGAGGGTCAGGGGAGAACATCCGGGGGTCCTGGATCAGAGAGAGATGGTGGGTGATACATTGAATGGCCCTTTTACATTGGCTGAGGTGAAGAGAGCGTTAGCTAAAGCTGGGGTAACATATCCTGGGGAGGATGAGATGTGCTACATCATGACGGCTAATCTCAGTGACACTGCAATGGGGGAACGTATTGGGCCTTTACAATAAGGTGTGGCAGGAAGGGAACCTGCCTGGAAGTTGGAAGCAGGCGGTAGTGGTGCCAATAAGGAAACCTGGGAAAGTCCTTCAACCTATAGGCCGATAGCGTTGGCATCTCACGTATGTAAACGTATGGAAAGGCTGACTTACTATCTGGAGAGTAGAGGACTGATGTCACCAGATCAAAGTGGGTTCAGGAATGACTGACTTACTTTCTGGAGAGTAGATGACTCATGTCACCAGATCAAAGTGGGTTCAGGAAAGGCAGGGGAACAATGGATCCTGTACTGGGCCCAGAGGCAGTCATACGGAAGGCACAGGCAAATATGGTGGTAGACGTTTTCTTTGATGTAGAGAACATGGGGGTTGGAGGAAGGGTTTTTAACTGGATAAACTATTTTATTTTTGGGCGATCAATGTCAGAAAGCTATGAGGTGGATAATGGTACCCCCCGGGGAAGTGTCATGAGGGTGGTGAGCTCTGTGTCAGAAAGCTATGAGGTGGATAATGGTACCCCCCAGGGAAGTGTCATGAGGGTGGGGAGCTCTATGTCAGAAAGCTATGAGGTGGATAATGGTACCCCCCAGGGAAGTGTCATAAGGGTGGGGAGCTCTATGTCAGAAAGCTATGAGGTGGATAATGGTACCCCCCAGGGAAGTGTCATAAGGGTGGGGAGCTCTATGTCAGAAAGCTATGAGGTAGCTGCTAGAGTGCTGGGAACATGAACAAAATCTTAATACAAGCTTTGGGTGGATAGGCAATTGCATGGCGAGAGAGATGGGGCTGTTTGGGAGGGAGTTTAGCCTCTCTGTGGTTCTTTCTGCTATCCCATCTTGGTTTCTTCCTCAGCCAGTGATATATCTTAGATTGCTTGAGAGGGTAAGAGATGTTGAGGAAGGAGTACATTCAGTTGTAAGTTAACATTTTAAGAACACAATACTATGCATTCTTGAATATATTCACAGATGGATCTAAGGACCCTAAAACAGGGAGGACAGGAGCTTAGTATTCCTGAGTTTAAGGTGGAAGTGACGAAGAGAGCAACGGATCATTTATCTGTTTACACAATGGAGTTGTTGACCGTACTATTGGCTGCAGAGTGGGTGGAGGAGGTGTGGCCAGAGAGGGTAGTCATCTGCTCTGACTCCTGTGCAGCACTGATGAGCTTAAATTAATGTGTGTCTCAGAGCAGACAGGATATATTGTATGAGGTTTTGCTGTGCTTGTACAGGGTGAAACAGATGGGGGTATTTGTGATGTTCCTCTGTGTACCAGCTCACGTGGGAGTAGAGGGGAATGAGGAAGTGGATATTATTGCCAGGCAGGCTCTTAAACATGGCAAAGGAATACTGCTGGGGAAATCTTCAGGGGATGTAGTATTTAATTATGTATTTCGTTTCCTTAGGGAGACGAGATTATTGGGTAGGATTCAGACCTTCATGGTCTCTCGTCCACACTCCTGTCCAGTTGGTGGCAGTAATGCACCTTAAAGTTGGTTGCCAACCGCCATATAAAATCCACAGAAGAAGAAGAAGAAGAAGAAGAAGAAGAAGAAGAAGAAGAAGAAGAACTTGGTGGGTTCATGGTTGACGCTCATGTCAGGGCGCTTGTGTAAAAGGGGGTGGAGATTTCCAACTGTGGAAGAAAGAAATGTGGTGTAGAAAGCTGTTTCCACTAGATAGCACAGCCACAAAATTGCCTATATCGTAAAAACTTAATTTAAGGTTAGGGTTAGGCATAAGGATAGCAGTGTGGTTAAGGTTTAAAATCACATTTTAAGAAGATACATTTTAGAAATGGGCGGGGTTTATGACTTTGTGGCTGTGGTAACTAGTGACGACGGTAGAAAGCTCGAGATTCAACATGGCCACTTACATGAGAATGCTGGGTGCTTGCAAGCAGACTTCTAAAAACGGCGCAATCTTGTCGAGAAATTACCCCAATATGCTTACAACGGGGACCGTGCGATCTCTCCTTAGCGAGTCATCTAACTGGACTGGACTGGTGGCCAAAAGGTCTTATTCTACGACCGGTACGCTTCGGAAAACATTACGCAACGCACGCTTTGGTAACGTTGTTACATCAATGACAAGAGCCGGGAGGCCAGCGAAGCTCAACCGATGGACAATGGTCACCGGGGTTTTTTCCGGGGAAAGAGAGATTCTGGGACTCGGCTGCGGGGCTTCGGCCAGCTACAACCAGATAAGATTGTTTGGCAACCGAGGCAGCGGCGCTGGCTTCTCGGGGGAAGACGGGTCGGAGAGCAGCGGGTCTGGGGGAGACGAGTCGGGGGGAGATGGAGGGACACCGTACATCTCCCCACAGATGACAGCTCTCACCCCCATGCTGGTGCCTGAAGTGTTCCCCAACGTGCCACTAATCGCCGTCAGTAGGAACCCGGTTTTCCCAAGGTTCATCAAGATTATCGAGGTAAGCAGCGCCGTCTGTCATTAGACACAAGGTCTCCCAAGGACACATCTGGATGATGCAATACTCAGAATTAGAAAATTCACATATTTTGAATGACAGGTGTCTCTACCAGTGTCAACTTAAAGATAAAAAATGTAACTTTTTGGGCGACCTGACACATAGAAATGAGAGTTATAAATCATTTTACATTTGAGTCATTTAGCAGAGACTTACAGGAGCAATTAGGGTTAAATCTGTCATTCTCATTGAAAGCAATTTAAAGATGTAGGTCTGTTCTATGTGCGCTATTTCTATGCTTCCCGTTTTAAGTTTCGTTTTTTGCTTTACTTTTGTACACTACCTTCATACAGCTGAAAATACAATATTTTTGGTTTTGGGAAAATATATTTCACAGCGGTTTAGATGGTACAATGTTTCTATACACAATACTTGCTTGTTTTGTCACATAAACTGAAATTAGGCGAACTATTTAGAATTTTAGCAACCAGGAAATGGCAGAGCGATTTCTGCATAGTGGTTCTTACATCTTAGTGCCTCCAATATACAGTGAGGGAAAAAAGTATTTGATCCCCTGCTGGTTTTGTACGTTTGCCCACTGACAAAGAAATGATCAGTCTATAATTTTAATGGTAGGTTCATTTGAATAGTGAGAGAAAGAATAACAACAACAAAATCCAGAAAAACGCATGTCAAAAATGTTATAAATTGATTTGCATTTTAATGAGGGAAATAAGTATTTGACCCCTCTGCAAAACATGACTTAGGACTTGGTGGCAAAACCCTTGTTGGCAATCACAGAGGTCAGACGTTTCTTGTAGTTGGCCACCAGGTTTGCACACATCTCAGGAGGGATTTTGTCCCACTCCTCTTTGCAGATCTTCTCCAAGTCATTAAGGTTTCGAGGCTGACGTTTGGCAACTCGAACCTTCAGCTTCCTACACAGATTTTCTATGGGATTAAGGTCTGGAGACTGGCTAGGACACTCCAGGACCTTAATGTGCTTCTTCTTGAGCCACTCCTTTGTTGCCTTGGCTGTGTGTTTTGGGTCATTGTCATGCTGGAATACCCATCCACAACCCTTTTTCAATGCCCTGGCTGAGGGAAGGAGGTTCTCACCCAAGATTTGAAGGTACATGGCCCCGTCCATCGTCCCTTTGATGCGGTGAAGTTGTCCTGTCCCCTTAGCAGAAAAACACCTCCAAAGCATAATGTTTCCACCTCCATGTTTGACGGTGGGGATGGTGTTCTTGGGGTCATAGGCAGCATTCCTCCTCCTCCAAACACGGCGAGTTGAGTTGATGCCAAAGACCTCGATTTTGGTCTCATCTGACCACAACACTTTCACCCAGTTCTCCTCTGAATCATTCAGATGTTCATTGGCAAACTTCAGACGGGCCTGTATATGTGCTTTCTTGAGCAGGGGGACCTTGCGGGCGCTGCAGGATTTCAGTCCTTCACGGCGTAGTGTGTTACCAATTGTTTTCTTGGTGACTATGGTCCCAGCTGCCTTGAGATCAATGACAAGATCCTCCCGTGTAGTTCTGGGCTGATTCCTCACCATTCTCATGATCATTGCAACTCCACGAGGTGAGATCTTGCATGGAGCCCCAGGCCGAGGGAGATTGACAGTTCTTTTGTGTTTCTTCCATTTTGTGAATAATCGCACCAACTGTTGTCACCTTCTCACCAAGCTGCTTGGCGATGGTCTTGTAGCCCATTCCAGCCTTGTGTAGGTCTACAATCTTGTCCCTGACATCCTTGGAGAGCTCTTTGGTCTTGGCCATGGTGGAGAGTTTGGAATCTGATTGATTGATTGCTTCTGTGGACAAGTGTCTTTTATACTGGTAACAAGCTGAGATTAGGAGCACTCCCTTTAAGAGTGTGCTCCTAATCTCAGCTCGTTACCTGTATAAAAGACACCTGGGAGCCAGAAACCTTTCTGATTGAGAGGGGTCAAATACTTATTTCCCTCATTAAAATGCAAATCAATGTATAACATTTTTGACATGAGTTTTTCTGGATTTTTGTTGTTGTTATTCTGTCTCTCACTGTTCAAATAAACCTACCATTAAAATTATAGACTGATTTGTCAGTGGGCAAAACGTACAAAATCAGCAGGGGATCAAATACTTTTTTCCCCTCACTGTAAGTCTTACATGGAATTGCATCATATTCAACACTAGTACTGTATGTGATCAGCGTTGCTACAGATTTTTTCGGTCTTCTACCTTTTCAGGGAATCGTTTTCTTTTTTTGTTGATGCAGTATTTGCATTTTCCAACAGATCTTGTTGTTGTGCAAGTAAGCTAATCATTAAACATGGTGGGTGGTTTGTTTTCATTTGTAGGTGAAGAACAAGGGGCTTATGGATCTTCTGAGGAGAAAAGTCAGACTGGCCCAACCGTACGCTGGCGTGTTCCTGAAGAAAGATGATGCGTAAGGGAAATATTTCTTCAACTGTAAACGCTAGGACTGTGATGCTAGCATTATCGCAATATTTTTTTCCATGTCAAAAATTAAAACATGAAGCAGACCAAACTCTTTGGTTCTTTTAAAAAACCTGCTGTATGTAAAATATTGTGTGCTATAGCTTGGGAAATAAATACATGTGAGTCTGGATGACAACATAATGATGTTTGTTTCCAACATTAGGGCTGTTTTCCTAAAGAAGTGAAATCCGCTTCGTGTTTTGTTTCCTTGCCACAATACCAAGGAGTATCACTATACTGGTATCATCCTGGCTCTAATAAATGCCCTTTAGACAGATCCTACTGGATTTTCTCTGTTGACCACTTTTATTTCTCTCTCTCTCTCTCTCTCTCTCTCTCTCTCTCTCTCTCTCTCTCTCTCTCTCTCTCTCTCTCTCTCTCTTCTCTCTCTGTCTCTCTGTCTCTCGGGTTCTTCAGTAATGAGACTGATGTGGTGGAGAGTCTGGATGCCATCTACAACACAGGAACTTTTGTACAGATCCATGAGATGCAGGACCTTGGTGACAAGCTGAGGATGATTGTCATGGGCCACAGAAGGTAGGGGGTATAAAAAACGTACTCCGCATGTTATGTTACCTTTTGATATTTCATCTGTACAGTATGTGTCGTTGCCCATTTGAAACGTACGCACTGAACAAAATACTCCTTTCTCTCTGGTAGAATCCGCATCACCAAGCAGATGGAGGTGGAGCCGGATGAGCCTGCGTCTGAGTCTGTCTCTGCCACTGAACCAGGGAGCCAGCCCAATGTCCCACGCCGGAAGCCCAAGAGAAAAGAGCGTAAAGAACCAGCCACCCTGGTCGAAACCATGGAGGAGAAGGTGCAGGAGGCAGAGCTGGTGGTAGAGACACTCCCTCTGCCCTCCTCTGATATCCTTATGGTGGAGGTAGACAATGTGGTGCACCAACAGTTTGAGGTCTCAGAGGAAGTCAAGGTAGGCATTAGGCAAAATACAGTGCCTTCGGAAAGTATTCAGACCCCTTGACTTTTTCCACATTTTGTTACGTTACAGCCTTATTCTAAAATTGATTAAATATTTTTTTTTCCTCAGCAATCTACCCACAATACCCCAAAATGACAAAGCAAAAACAGGTTTGTAGATTTTTCCCCCCAAAACGTATTTAAAGAAAACAAATACCTTATTTACATAAGTATTCAGACCCTTTGCAATGAGACTCGAAATTGAGCTTAGGCGCGTCCTGTTTCCATTGGTCATCCTTGAGATGTTTCTACAAGTTGATTATTGGAGTCCACCTGTGGTAAATTCAATTGTTTGGACATGATTTGGAAAGGCACACACCTGTCTATATAAGGTCCCACAGTTGACAGTGCATGTCAGAGAATAAAACCAAGCCATGAGGTCGAAGGAATTGTCCGTAGAGCTCCGAGACAGGATTGTGTCGAGGCACAGATCTGGGGAAGGGTACCACAACATTTCTGCAGCATTGAAGGTCCCCAAGAACACAGTGGCCTCCATCATTCTTAAATGGAAGAAGTTTGGAACCACCAAGATTCTTCCTAGAGCTGGCTGCCTGGCCAAACTGAGCAATCGGGGGAGAAGGGCCTTGGTCAGGGAGGTGACCAAGAACCCGATGGTCACTCTGACAGAGCTCCAGACTTCCTCTGTGGAGATGGGAGAACCTTCCAGAAGGACAACCATCTCTGCAGCACTCCACTAATCAGGCCTTTTTGGTAGAGTGACCAGACGGAAGCCACTTCTCAGTAAAAGACACATGACAGCCCGCTTGAAGTTTGCCAAAAGGTACCTAAAGACTCTCAGACCATGAGAAACAAGATTCTCTGGTCTGATGAAACCAAGATTGAACTCTTTGGCCTGAATGCCAAGTGTCACGTCTGGAGGAAACCTGGCACCATCCCTACGGTGAAGCATGGTGGTGGCAGCATCATGCTGTGGGGATTTTTTTTTCATTTTCAGGGACTAGGAGACTGGTCAGGATCGAGGCAAAGATGAATGGTGCAAAATACAGAGATATCCTTGATGAAAACCTGCTCCAGAGCACTCAGGACCTCAGACTGGGGCGAAGGTTCACCTTCCAACAGGACAACAACCCTAAGCACACAGACAAGACAACGCAGGAGTGGCTTCGGGACATGTCCTTGAGTGGCCCAGCCAGAGCCCAGACTTGAACCCGATCAAACATTTTTGGAGAGAAGAATGGGAGAAACTCCCCAAATACAGGTGTGCCAAGCTTGTAGCGTCATACCCAAGAAGACTCGAGGCTGTAATCGCTGCCAAAGGTGCTTCAAAAAGTACTGAGGAAATGGTCTGAATACTTATTTACATTTGATATTTCCTTTAAAAAAATATGTTTTTATTGCCAACAATTTCTAAACCTGTTTTTGCTTTGTCATTATGGGGTATTGTGTGTAGATTGATGAGGGGGAAAAAACTATTTTAGAATAAGGCTGTAACGTAACAAAATGTGGAAAAAGTCAAGTTGTCTGAATACTTTCCGAATGCGCTGTAACATCTCCCCTGGTTTTGGTCCAATATTTCCACACCACAAAGAATTAAGTGTTTGTTTACATTTATAATGTTATAACATTGGAGTACAACAAGCTTCTATTTTGGTTTCTGATGAGGTGTGACAGTTGAACTAAGCACATGAGGCATTTATAAGTTATATTACATTTAAATTTTAGTCATTTAGCAGACGCTCTTATCCAGAGCGACTTACAGTTAGTGAGTGCATACATTTTCTTGATTCTTCATGAATCAATGGGTGTGTGTTTTAATATATCATTAATTTATAAGTCCAAAAATGGTTGTAGCAACTGCAGATTGCCCCTTTAACCAGGCATTCTAGCGGGGTGTCAGTGTAGCTGTTGGGGTTTGTTTTGTTTCATTTGAAGAAAAACAGAAGTGCATGTGCTTTGTTTTATGAAGGCCCTGACAGCGGAGATCGTGAAGACCATCCGTGACATCATCGCCCTTAATCCGCTTTACAGGTAATGAGATCTTTCTTTACAAATAAATAATTGTCCTTCAAAAATACCTTGGAAAGTCATGTCTCTCCCAATGTCTAGATGGCCCTAGTAATGAACGCATTAATAGGCCAGAACTCTGTTTATTTTTAACGACTGTGAATGTCACTGACACTCATTTAAAAAAAAAAAAGGTTTTACTTCAAATGCCCACACGTTTCAGCCTCCTCCCTTTTTTTGAATGCATGAGGCTGTCTGTCAAATGACTAACCTGGTAATTGTATCGGTCTGTATGCATGCAGAGAGTCTGTTCTTCAGATGATGCAGGCTGGGCAGAGAGTAGTGGACAACCCCATCTATCTGAGTGACATGGGAGCGGCTCTCACAGGGGCCGAGTCACACGAGCTACAGGACGTCCTGGAAGAGACCAACGTAAGTGGACAGGGATTATCCTTACCAACAAACATGCTCTTTACAATCTTTTCTTTACCTTTTCTCTCCATGGATGTTCAAACTAGAAGAAGAAGAGATTTCCCATGAGTACACACAACATGTTCAATATAATATTCTCGGTGCTTTAATGACAACCATTTTTCAATAACTTTTTAACGCTCTCCTCAGATTCCCAAACGTCTGTACAAGGCTTTGTCGCTGCTGAAGAAAGAATATGAGCTCAGTAAGTTGCAGCAGCGCCTCGGCAGGGAGGTAAGTGACGTCTTCCTCTTTAGACAATTTTGAGATGTACAGTACCTCTTCAAAACAATTTTTTTCATCACCTCAAGCTCTTTGCAAAATGTAATGACACATTTTACAGTAAAATGGTGACCTAAATGAATGGGAAATATGGTCCGGGCAGGCACCAATCCAATATGACGACTTTGCCATTCCTTGCACAGAATTAAAAAAATATGAAAATGATATAATGATTGTGACGTTGTATTATTCTCTGTGTCAGGTGGAGGAGAAGATCAAGTTGACCCACAGGAAGTACCTCCTGCAGGAGCAGCTGAAGATCATTAAGAAGGAGCTGGGCCTGGAGAAGGAGGACAAGGACGCCATAGAGGAGAAGTTCAGGGAGAGGCTGAAGGAGCGCACCGTGCCCCAGCACATCATGGACGTCATCAACGAGGAGCTCAACAAACTCGGCCTGCTGGACAATCACTCCTCAGAGTTCAAGTCAGTCCCTGAACCCCAAATAAACCCCTAGACCATCCCTGCCCCCTGGATGTGGCGATCTGAGAGGATTGGATAGGTGTACTGTAAGCAATATGGCGACAATTCCACCTGGCCTATCAGAGGGCAAAATGGAACTACCACCATAATGCTTAAACCTATCCAATCCTCACAGATCTATATGTAAGTGTCATGGGGGTAGGGGATAGGGGTTGATTTGGGAATCAGGGAGTGACCTCAGCGTTTGCCTCACCTTTTGAACTATCACTCAGAAAGAGCATCGTTTTTTGTTGTTGTATCTGTCCTATTTTAAACAAACCCAAAAACAAAAAAACGATTGAACATGGCTCTTCTATTGAGCTGTTGGTTCTGTGTGCAGTGTGACCAGGAACTATCTGGACTGGCTGACCTCGATGCCCTGGGGAACTAATAGTGAGGAGAACCTGGAACTCAAACGGGCCAAAGAGGTGCTGGAGGAAGACCATTATGGGATGGACGACGTCAAGAAACGCATTCTGGTGAGAGAATTGCACTGTGGGATCACCATGGTTACAATTTGACAGTGGATGACAGTTGGACTTGTCGATGTGAAAAATCTAATAATCTGTTGCCAAATATTTCCTTAATTAAGAAAATTCAAAGTTTCCTCTTGACCTCACCCATCTTCCTCTCTTTCTTCCTGCAGGAGTTTATTGCAGTGAGCCAGCTGAGAGGCTCAACCCAGGGAAAGATCCTGTGTTTCTATGGCCCTCCTGGTGTAGGAAAGACCAGTATCGCCCGCTCCATCGCCAGAGCACTCAACCGAGAGTATTTCCGTTTCAGTGTTGGTGGTATGACAGATGTCGCTGAAATCAAAGGCCACAGGTAGGTACTGTTAGCTACTGTTAATTGCTCAATTAAACTATTCTGTCCGCATTAAAATACTATACAATCCAAAGTTGAGAGTAACTATTATTTACGGTACTTGTGTGTTGTGTGTTTTCAGGAGAACGTATGTGGGAGCCATGCCTGGAAAAATCATTCAATGCCTCAAGAAGACAAAGACTGAAAACCCACTGGTCCTTATTGATGAGGTGAATAAAGAAACTCTATGGAGTCAGCTCTAGCTTTATTTGATTGACAGAAATGTAGTTCTGCGTTGTTTGTATCGTTTAGTATTCTTGGTGAAGGAGGTGATCGACCGTTCTGTGTTTATTCTTCCAGGTTGACAAGATAGGTCGTGGTTACCAAGGCGACCCGTCCTCAGCTCTGCTGGAGCTCCTGGACCCGGAGCAGAACTTCAACTTCCTGGATCACTACCTGGATGTGCCTGTTGACCTGTCCAAGGTAGGTGGACACACCTGTTAGGTTGGACCTGATCCTGATCCTGGAGGGCTTCAGGGTTACGGCCCAGCACATAAAATGAAAAGGTCATGTTCTTGAATCGAACGGTTTGTGTCCTTGTGTTCTCTCCAGGTTCTGTTTATCTGCACTGCCAATGTGACTGACACCATCCCAGAGCCCCTGAGAGACCGAATGGAGATGATCAACGTGTCTGGATATGTGGCCCAGGAGAAACTAGCCATCGCTGAGGTAATGGGTTTTCACATTAGATTAAATCGGACAGCTGTCTCGGCGCTGAGAAGACAGTCCGCAAACATGCTTTAACAAAACAACCACCCCTTCTTATGGCAAACATTGAGTCATTAACCATGTTTTTCCATCCAAACATTTTTATGCAAGTAAAGCACCTGTGAAATATAAAACTCATGACAGGCCTGACAGAAACAGCAAATTCTCGGTCAACTTTCAAACCAAAAAAAGTTTCCAATGCCATTTCTCGCATTATCTATGTAATCTACCCACAATATGATCCACCCCTGTCGAGCATATTTTGGTGGTTAACATTTTAATGTTTTTTTTTTTTTTGCAATATTTGATAGAAGTAAACTGCAGTCATGCAATGATGCTATGTCCTGTGGTCCTGTGGTCCTCCCACTAGGACGTGGAAAAGCATGCACAGTTTATTAGCTACAGATGATTCAAGTTATGATGAATGTCACAGTGAGGTGGGGATGAGTTTGACTCTCATCTCCAATAGATTGGTGCGCCTTATTCGAGTTCTAGAAAAACATTCCTTTGTCTGATTTAGTGTTGGTTTACTTCCTGTCTTTTAAGTGTGGGTTTTTCTTTTGTTTGCCTCTTGGGCAAATTTTGTGGGCGTTGTCTTTTAGGTTCCAGTTGTGTTGCTAGTCAACTTTCAGTGAACACCCCCATGAGTGTATTTTTAAGCCTCTTTAATTTAACCTCTTAAAACCCCCCCGTTTTGGTTCTTTGTCAGTGGCTCTCTGTTAGTTCCCCCTTCTGTTTGAGCGACCTTTTGGTTTTCTTGCTGGGGAACATAACAAAATAGGGGCTCGTCTGGGATATTGTTTCCCATGAGTATGGTAGTTGCTCTAGTCACCTACTCTGAAGCTCTTCTGTGCCCAGATATTCGAGTGTTCAAAATGCTCTTTTGGGTAGAGTTTGTCACTGGCATCCACCTTGAGGGGTTAGAAGATTGGTGGAATCATAGATATTGAGGGGCTGAATTTGTATGCTGGTGACATGATGATTGGTGCTTGGCTGCCAATTTAACCAATACGACCAGTAGGGGCAAATTTGCTGTTTATCGCAAGACTTGTGTCAAAACCGTCAACAGAGCTGAAAATGGGACGGAAACGTTAAATGAAAAGTTACTTTTGAATCACGACAAGCCAGTTTGGATTTCTGTTGGTAAAATGCGCATATCTTTTTGTGCGAATATTAGAATATTACTATATTTAGACAAATGGATGGACACCTAGCTATTGGTGGTATCTCCATCTCACAGTAACTCTCTGTCTCTCTCTCTGTCTCTCGCTCTCCTCTCGCTCTCTCGCTCTCTCTCTCACTCACTAACTAACAGAAGTACCTGGTACCCCAGTTGCGTACTCAGTGTGGGCTGACTGAGGATACCACCACCATCTCCCCAGAGGCTCTGAACCTTCTCATCAGACAGTACTGCAGAGAGAGTGGAGTCAGGAACCTACAGAAACAAGTGGAGAAGGTCAGGCCAAACTTCACCGTCTGACTGCATGTATTAGTGGCTATTCTATATCTATCGCAGCCAAAGGTGCTTCAACAAAGTACTGAGTAAAGGGTCTGAATACTTATGAATACTTTATTTTTAATACATTTGCAAAAATGTCTAAAAACCTGTTTTCACTTTGTCATTATGGGGTATTGTGTGTAGATTGATGAGGGGGGGAAAAATATATTTAATCCATTTTAGAATAAGGCTGTAACGTAACAAAATGTGGGGGTCTGAATACTTTCCGAATGCACTATGGGGTTAATCCTAACTTTGAAGTCTCATTTTCACTTATTCGATTTAAGTTGAAATTAGGATTCTCCCCTAATGAAAGGAAATAATTCTACTTTAGGATGTTGCTGATGTCTCGTATCATGTGTCCAGGTGTTCCGGAAAGTGGCGTTCCGTATAGTGAGTGGGGAGGAGACGGCGGTCCAGGTTACCCCTGACAACCTGCAGGATTACGTCGGCAAGCCCATCTTCACTGTGGATAGAATGTATGATGTCACACCGCCTGGTGTTGTCATGGGCCTGGCATGGACAGCCATGGGTAAGAACGTGGGCAGAGACGTAGAAGAGAGGTGTGTTTTACAACCAGCATTATGCATAGAGAACAACACAAACGTCGCTCTGATCTTAACCCCCTAGAGTCTTAGCCTGGGGGGTAGGGGGGGGGGGGGGTCGTGTGGGGGGTCGTAGATCAAAACGTGTTCGTGAGAGTCTCGTCTTTCCATAGAGGGGTATTATTCGATTTTAGGCCAAACCGTTCTAACGCTACAGATGGTTTTGTGAGAAGACATCTTTTTGGAATTTCTCCTGGTCTGATAAACACTGCTGTAGCTCTGCAACCGCAGACACGCAAGGGTAACGTCGGCGGCTGCGATGGATCGAGACGCAGCCCATGCAGATAACTCTAGCTTAAACAGATGGATTTTGATAGGGGATATTTCTTTATTATGCTAATTAGATTTTGCGGACACGTGGACATTGACTCTGGGTTTTTAAAGTCCCCTCCATCTTTCCTCTCCAGGTGGCACCACGCTGTTCATCGAGACGTCCCTGAGACGGCCGCGGGACACTGGCGGTAAGGATAAGGACGGCCCCAGGGATGGGTCGCTGGAGATCACAGGGCAGCTGGGAGATGTGATGAAGGAGAGCGCTAAGATCGCCTGTACCTTCGCCAGGGCCTTCCTCATGAAGCAGCAGCCGGACAACGACTTTTTCTCTGGCTCCCACCTCCATTTGCACGTCCCTGAGGTAGGGGTGTTGTCCTTACAGACTGTAGCAGTGTTGACGTTTGTCTTGTAAACACCTGTATCTGCACACCCCTTCTGTTATCTGATATCTTTATGCCATATCCATCAATCACCCATTTACAGTATTCTATGAAAAGGGACCTTCAATGTACACAACATCCACTGTATACAAGCCAAATCGAAAGGAACAGTGTTCTGTATAGATTTTTATACATAATCACAACGTCACGAAACAGCGTCTCCTCTCTCCCTGTATGGCTGCTGTGGTTGTTTACAGGGTGCTACCCCCAAGGACGGGCCCAGTGCCGGCTGCACCATCGTCACGGCCCTGCTGTCCCTGGCAACCAACACGCCAGTGCGGGAGAACGTGGCCATGACGGGAGAGGTGTCCCTGACCGGAAAGATCCTGCCTGTGGGAGGCATCAAGGAGAAGACCATTGCTGTGAGTCACGTCACTCTTAATAACACTGTTTAGTTACCTGGGAGCTTAAGTGTGATTGAAAAAGAGAATGAAATGTACTTCAAGTAGGCTGTTACTTTACATACTATAACAACGTAACTTATGAGGTGAGATACTTGATCAACAATGGCTTCATAACATACAGAAGACACCTTTGCCATGTATTGCTAATTCCTGCAGAAAGCACACAGGCTACTGGAAAGACTGATATACAAACCATATGTTTTGCATATGATATTCAAGTTTAATTTATGGTTCAATCTTTTCCTTCTAAAAGCATGTTTATAATAAATCATGAGGATACAATGTTAGTCTGAAACTTGAAATGACTGTGGAGTATGGTTGTGTATGGGGATTTATCTGAACTTATATTATGCTGAACAAAAATATAAACGCAACAATTTCAACGATTTTACTGAGTTACAGTTCATATAAAGAAATCAGTCATTTACATTTTAGTCATTTAGCAGACGCTCTTATCCACAGCGATTTACAGGAGCAATTAGGGTTAAGTGCCTTGCTCAAGGGCACATCGACAGATTTTTCACCTAGTCGGCTCGGGGATTAGAACCAGCGACCTTTCGGTTACTGGCACAACGCTCTTAACCATTAAGCTACCTGCCGCCCCTCATGTCAATTGCAGCCATGGCTGGGCATAGGCCCACCCACTGGGGAGCCAGGTCTGTCTGTCTAATGACAATCCTGTTTAATCAGCTTCTTGATATGCCACACCTGTCAAGTGGATGGATTATCTTGGCAAAGGAGAAACGCTCACTAACAGGAATATAAACACATTTGTGCACAACATTTTGAAGCTTTTTGTGCGTATCGAACATGTCTGGGATCTTTTTATTTCAGCTCAGGAAACATGGGACCAACACTTTACATGTTGCGTTTTTATATTTTTGTTCAGTAGTTTTAGTAGCAGTCTCCTCGTGCATTTTGAACATTCCTCCCTTCTCTCCATCTTTCCCCAGGCGAAGCGTGCCGGTGTGACCTGCATGATCTTACCGGCAGAGAACAAGAAGGACTTCTCTGACCTGCCAGAGTTCATCACGGAGGGCCTGGAGGTTCACTTTGTGGATCATTACAGCAAGATGTACCCCATCGTCTTTCCACAACACTGAATCATGACGCTATGAAACAGACACTGGCACCTAAGCTGCCAGCACTGTTGGGGGTCAATTCAGGAAGAACACTGAAATTCCCAATTATCTTCAATGAGGAAGATGTTGAATTGGAATTTGGTTTACTTTTATGTATTGAATGGAATTCACCCCAACCCCCGATGGACACAACTGGTTAGATTCACATTGAAGGACTTTGTCATCACTGAACTATGAAAGCAGATTTTTCTGATCAGTTGTTTTATTTGGTCGTACATTCACCCGCTGTTAAAAGCACCACAACTAACAGTGTGAGACAGCTGTGTCACGAGGAGAGTTGTATACAAGTCCCCTGTAGCTCAGTTGGTAGAGCATGGCGCTTGCAACGCCAGGGTTGTGGGTTTGTTTCCCGGGGGGGGGGGGGGGGGGGGGGGGCAGCATGAAAATGTATGCACTAACTGTAAGTCGCTCTGGATAAGAGCGTCTGCTAAATGACTAAAATGGTAATTGTATAGCCAATCAGTTGGACCACAGACAAAGCAGGGGGTCTTTTCAGGAGGGTGAAACAGAACATTTCAGCTAGGAACATATGATTGTCTATCATGTAGAAGGAATTTTCAGATCATATTAAGTTGCATTTCTATATCACCAATGTTCATGTTAACCCCCAACCCCCCAAATATCCCTCTTCTGTGTTAAAGATCCCCAAAAACTACCATCACAGTTGGGGTGATGTTTTCGCTGCTACGCAGCCTAGACTTAAGATATCTTTTTTTTAGTGATCAAATGTTGCATTTAAAAACTGCTGATAAACTTGCGTACTGTCATTTTTCCTTAATGTTGAAGTTTGTTCCCACTTGATCAGCAATGGTTTCATAACATACGGAAGACACCTTTGCCATTTATTGCCAATTTCTTCACACAGGCTACTGGTAAGACTATTGGCTAGCCCATCATTTGGCATGTGTAAGAGCACCTGCTGGACCCTGGATAAGAGCGTCTGCTAAATGATGTAAAAATGAAGACGACTGTACAGTACACTACCCAGTCAGAGTAGTCCTTCAATTAATAAAATACGTCTTACAGAATATTTAGACAACTCCAGGTCTGTATTCTAGTAAAAATTCATGACTGGAAAGACATGCAGCCTACAGTATAAATTGAAAATGGCTCCCCTCTGCAGATTGAGATGTTTAAATTACGCCAATCATAGCACCACTTCATCATTCTAGAATGAGAAACAATGAAGGAATCGACAAACTTTAAATTGTTGATACAAATATTTATTTGCAAGAACAGCTTTAATCCTTCTTGGCAGCGGCCTTCCTCATGGCAGCCAGGACGTTGCTGAGCTCCTCCCTCTTTCTCTTGGCGCGGATGTGAGTTCCAATCTGAGGAGAAACCCAAAGGGTACATTAATGTAAGAGGGAAGACCCAACACAAGATGCATGCGCAACTTTCACAGCAGGTGAACTACCATGCTCAGGATGACGTCAACACTGGCCCCGTGTAGCTCAGTTGGTAGAGCACGGCGCTTGCAACTCCAGGGTTGTGGGCTCGTTTCCCCACGGGGGAGCCAGTATGAAAATGTATGCATTCACTAACTAAAGTCGCTCTGGATAAATGACAACAACAAAAAACCCACTAAAGCATGTCTCTGGGACAGATAAATCAGGTATAAGTTCAGTAACGAACATGTATTGGGATAGCAGTTCCATAAATGCTAAACTAGTCTTGAGAATGAACTGATTGGACAAACTATAGGACAGAGTAAGGCTACTGATCCAATAGATGCTCCACGATGCAAACAGTCAACCAGGGTGACAGCTGCGAAAAATGCAGGACATTTCCACAAACCCTTAACAGATGTAGTAACGTTCAACATCAAATGGGTACTACAAAATCTATGTTCGGTTTAAAAAATTGCATTTTGTTCACCGTTTTTTGATCCAAAAAGAAAGCAGCTGCAGAAACAAACCATATGACATGAACAAATTCCTCCATGCTGACAATACATTTTAGTCATTTAGCAGACGCTCTTATCCAGAACGACTTACAGTTAGTGAATGCATACATTTTTATTATTATTTTATTTTTTTCCTACCCCCTGTGGGAATCGAACCCACAACCCTGGCGTTGCAAACGCCATGCTCTATCAACTACAATAACACCACCAATACACCCAGCCGGGTTCGTAGTGTCTCCCGAGTGGCGCAGTGGTCTAAGGCACTGCATCGCAGTGCTAGCTGTGCCACTAGAGATCCTGGTTCGAATCCAGGCTCTGCTGTAGCCGGCCGCAACCGGGAAACCAATGGGGCGGCGCACAATTGGCCCAGCGTCGTCCAGAGTAGGGGAGGGAATGGCCGGCAGGGAGGTAGCTCAGTTGGTAGAGCATGGCGTTTGCAACGCCACGGTTGTGGGTTCGTTTCCCACGGGGGGCCAGTATAAAAAAAGAATAATGTATGCACTAACTGTAAGTCGCTCTGGATAAGAGCGTCTGCTAAATGACGTAAATGTAAATGTAGCAGGGGAGTTACATACCCTCTTCTTGATGAACTTGAGGGCACGCTTGTCCTTGGACACCTTCAGCAACTCCATGGCGCGCCTCTCGTAAGGGGCGAAGCCGCACACCTCGCGGATCATGTCACGCACAAACTTGCTGTGCTTGGTCAGACGCTGAAATACAAAATCAGCAACAGTTGGTCAAACAACCAGTTCTAAAGTCACTGTGGAAATGTAGGCCCTCTACCATGGGATGAAAAAATAACCTTTATTCAGATAGCTACTATGCAAGTGTCTGAGACCAAGCGTCCCTGTCAGCAGTGGGATGCAGACAGACAGGGATAGTAGGAAACTAGTTGATGTGTGCAGGGGGAACGACAGAACAGCACTGAACAAGCTGCACTGTAACTTATCCTGCTTTAGCAACAGTTTATTGGGCCAGTAAGTGCCGCCTACGATCAAGTTATATTGTTGACCCATTATCTGATAACAGAGGGGAGGGGGCCAAAGCCTGAGCACCTTCAATCACTACACTGGTGTCAGCTATGGGATTAGAAACCAAACTATGAACAGAGACAGAGAGGGGCTTGACCCAGCAATTCTAGGACAAGCAAACAACCTCCTGTGGTAAAGGGTCCAGTGCCCAGACCCTTTACCCGAAGACATAGCGCCCAGACCCTTTACCTGAGGACACAGTGCCCAGACCCTTTACCTGAGGACACAGTGCCCAGACCCTTTACCTGAGGACACAGTGCCCAGACCCTTTACCTGAGGACACAGTGCCCAGACCCTTTACCTGAGGACATAGCGCCCAGACCCTTTACCTGAGGACACAGTGCCCAGACCCTTTACCTGAGGACATAGCGCCCAGACCCTTTACCTGAGGACATAGCGCCCAGACCCTTTACCTGAGGACACAGTGCCCAGACCCTTTACCTGAGGACATAGCGCCCAGACCCTTTACCTGAGGACATAGCGCCCAGACCCTTTACCCGAGGACATAGCGCCCAGACCCTTTACCTGAGGACATAGTGCCCCGAGGCTCTACCAATACCACACTACCTGTGGTGGTTGTCATGTTTCTATCCATTGAGATGAACTCACCCCTCGCCTACGGGCATGTTTCGGTGCGGTCACATTCTTGGTTACCGGGTGGCCTTTGCTAAGCCCCACGGCCATAGGATACCTGATAGCCATGTCTGTAGAAAAAAGGAAAAAAAAGTTGAGTTACATGTAATTCAAAGCATGAGACTTCCAACAGGCTAGCTAGTTGCTGACCATCAACTAACTTGTGTTACAGTGTCAGTCCAGGTGCATAAAAGCTGGGACAGAGAAACTGAAAAACAGCTTCTATCTCAAGGGCATCAGACTTAAATAGCCATCACTAGCCGGCCTCCACCCAGTACCCTGCCCTTAGTCACTGTCACTAGCCGGCTACCAACCATTTACTAATCCCTGCACCTTAGAAGCTGCTGCCCTATGTACATAGACATGGAACACTGGTCACTTTAATAATGTTAACATACTGTTTTACCCATTTCATATGTATATACTGTATTCTAGTCAAGGCCATCCTATTTAACTATTGCTGTATATATACACACTATTCTATCCTACGTATTATATAGATATACTAAATCTTCTATCCACATACTGTCCATGATGTCTATACATCCCATCCCACACACAGAACAAAAATATAAACGCAACATGCAACAATTTTACTGAGTTAGTTAATATGAGGAAATCAGTCAATTGAAATAAATTAATTAGGCCCTAATCTATGGATTTTCACATGACTGGGAATACAGATACCTCACGATTTTGTCAGAATATTTCTGTACATTCAAATTGCCATAGATAAAAAAGCAATTGTATTTGTTGTCCGTAGCTTATGCCTGCCCATACCATAACCCCACCATTGGGCACTCTTGTTCACAAGGTTGACATCAGCAAACTACTCGACCAGAAGACGCCATACAAGTGGTCTGCGGTTGTGAGGCCAGTTAGACATACTGCCAAATTATTTAAAATGACGTCGGAGGCGGCGTATGGTAGAGAAATGAACATTCAATTATCTGGCAACGGCTCTGGTGGACATTCCTGCAGTCAGCATGCCAATTGCATGCGCCCTCAACTTGAGACACCTGTGGCATTGTGTTGGGTGACAAACATTTTAGAGTGGCCTTATACTGTCCCCAGCACAAGGGGCATCTGTGTAATGATCATGCTGTTTAATCAGCTTCTTGATATGCCACACCTGTCAGGTGGATGGATCATCTTGGCAAAGGAAAAATGCTAATTAAAAGGGATGTAAACAAATTTGTGCACAACATTTAAGAGAAATAAGCTTTTTGTGCATTTGTAAAATGTCTGGGGATCTTTTATTTCACCTCATGAAACACGGGACCAACACTTTAGGTTAAGTGCGTATATATATATACACACCGCCATTGCTCATCCCCTAATATTTATATATTTCTTAATTCCATTAATTTTGCTTTTAGATTTAGATTGGAGCTAGGAACACAAGCATTTCGATACACCAGCAATAACATCTGCTAAACTTGTGTATACGACCAATAACATTTTATTTTATCGTGAACTATTAACGTTACCGGTCTGGCCTTCGCAAGATAGCCAGTTAGCTAACGTTACTAGCGTTTTCCTATAACGCTAATCACTGCATCGTCAACTGCAATGTACATTTAACTAGCCACAACGTTAGGACTCTTGATTCAGCAAGGTAGCCAAAGAATACGGTTATTAAGACAGAATGCTGGCTAGCAAACTACCGTGAGCAATGTTAGCTAGCAAACGTAGCCAACTAGCTAATTACCCTCTTACTACTGCGATGGGAAAATTACATGAGTTAGCATTAAAGCAGAAATATTAGTCAAGAACATGCATGTTATCTGTAGGCACTATGCAGTCATTGTAAAAAGCGTCTCGTTACGAAGCTCCGGCAATAACAAGCCGATGTGATTCTCATGTGCTTAGGGAAAGAGACCATGTAAGCGCAGCAACTGTAGGGGGATGTTTACCGTGAAAATCGTACATTTATCACGACAATATTGGAAGCCTCGCTCCAAGTAATAACTATACCTTATGTTGGTTTTATTCAAATTGGTAATAAAAGAAGGATGCCAAAGATTTGGTAAGGATTTTAGACGATATAATTTCTTCATAAAATTCTTACCTTCTTTCTTTAATGGCGGACAAACCGGAAGGAACGCTTAGTAGTGGATGTTGGGTAATGAGGGTTTCCCATAAATAAAACACCAGTGAAATCTATGTAGCGCCACCTGTGGGTGCGGATAACTCAGATTCAGTTGTCTTTCTTTGAAGATACATATATTGCAAAAGTAAATCGTTTAAAGTAGACCGTAGCAAACATTTTTATAATTACATTTACATTTACGTCATTTAGCAGACGCTCTTATCCAGAGCGACTTACAAATTGGTGCATTCACCTTATGATAGCCAGAGGGACAACCACTTTACAATTTATTTATTTTTATTTTTCAAATTGTTTAATTCTTGATTTTTAGAGTATATTTATAAATGTTGGGGGGTAGAAGGATTACTTTTATACTATCCCAGGTATTCCTTAAAGAGGTAGGGTTTCAAGTGTCTCCGGAAGATGGTCAGTGACTCCGCTGTCCTGGCGTCGTGAGGGAGCTTGTTCCACCATTGGGTGCCAGAGCAGCGAACAGTTTTGACTGGGCTGAGCGGGAACTGTGCTTCCGCAGAGGTAGGGGAGCCAGCAGGCCAGAGGTGGAAGAACACAATGCCCTCGTTTGGGTGTAGGGACTGATCAGAGCCCGAAGGTGCCGTTCCCCTCACAGCTCCGTAGGCAAGCACCATGGTCTTGTAGCAGATGCGAGCTTCAACTGGAAGCCAGTGGAGTGTGCGGAGGAGCAGGGTGACGTGAGAGAACTTGGGAAGGTTGAACACCAGACGGGCTGCAGCATTCTGAATGAGTTGTAGGGGTTTAATGGCACAGGCAGGGAGCCCAGCCAACAGCGAGTTGCAGTAATCCAGACGGGAGATGACAAGTACCTGGATTAGGACCTGTGTAAGGTAGGGTCGTACTCTGCGAATGTTGTAGTGCATGAACCTACAGGATCGGGTCACCGCTTTGATGTTAGCTGAGAACGACAGGGTGTTGTCCAGGGTCACGCCAAGGTTCTTTGCACTCTGGGAGGAGGACACAACGGAGTTGTCAACCGTGATGGCGAGATCATGGAGCGGGCAGTCCTTCCCCAGGAGGAAGAGCAGCTTCGTCTTGCCGAGGTTCAGCTTGAGGTGGTGTTCCGACATCCACACTGATATGTCTGCCAGACATGCAGAGATGCGATTCGCCACCTGGTTATCAGAAGGGGGAAAGGAGAAGATTAATTGTGTGTCATCTGCGTAGCAATGATAGGAGAGACCATGTGAGGATATGACAGAGCCAAGTGACTTGGTGTATAGAGAGAATAGGAGAGGGCCTAGAACTGAGCCCTGGGGGACACCAGTGGTGCGAGCACGTGGTGCGGAGACAGATTCTCGCCACGCCACCTGGTAGGAGTGACCTGTCAGGTAGGTCGCAATCCAAGAGTGAGCCGCGTCGGAGATGCCCAACTCGGAGAGGGTGGAGAGGAGGATCTGATGGTTCACAGTATCAAAGGCTCCGACTTTCCAACCTGAAGATCACTGACGTCATGATTTGACCTCGTATTTTTCAGAGTTCCCAGTTGTTTTGAAATGCGCCAAGTAGCCGCTGCAGCGTCACACATGAAAAAAAGTGCAACAGATTAAACGCACACTTAGCCTTCTGAATGGACAATCAAAACAGGTCTGGTGCGCTAGCACAGTGGATCTCAAAGTGGATAAGGTTCTGGGGGGGTCACGAGTATGAAACTGAATACCTTTGCCTATTTGATCTGGTTTCTAACATAGGCCTATGGTATTGAGTACCACGGTATGAGTTGTAATACCCGGAAATGGTTCCAATCGTTTTTCCACCATTCATTTTTCCTTAAGAGATTTTAGAACTACTTCATATATGGTCTGTGTTTTGTGTAGGCTTACCCTGGCGTGACATTTTGATAACCGCGCAAATCTCTCTCGGACAATATAACTTTTATCAATATATTCACCTGTAATTACTCCCGAAAAATGAAATGCTAATTAGCCTCTAATGTGGCTATCATTCAGAACTACACATCCTGTTGCAAACTTTGACATCGTCACTCAAGGCGCAGGGTGGGGAAAAACCTCCACATTTCTCCATGCAAACTCTCATAGACAAGTAACCTAGCAAGTAGATATTATAGCCTTTTTAGTTTCTTGTTAAATACTCTGGCATTTGTTGCTAACTAGCTAACCTTAGGTCTCTCCGTCGATCAGAAGCAAGGATGGTAACCACAACTCTGATAAGCACATGTGCATTTTATCGTTTTCCAACTACTGTAAGCGAGAGGCATCAATGGAGCTGTTTGATAAGGTAAGCCCTGTTTGCTAGCTGCTAACAAACTATTTTGTTTAGGTCAAAGATATGTGGTTAGCTAGATAACCACCGACTGTAGTTACGTGTACAACGCACGTTACCTTCCTTACAAGTAAAAAGAAAACCAACATAGGCTAGCATAATGACTGTTGTGACCTTTTATTGTTGACAAGTCCTTTGTGAGCTAGCCAGCTAGTTAACATTCTCACGGTTTGCGTAGTTATACTTTTTCAAGTGGTGACATGCTAGTTATGTAAGCCCACCAGGGCAGGGATATAGCTAACTAAATATTGCCTGGTGGGCTAGCTAGTTAGGCACCTTGGTTGGCTACATTAGCTAATGTTAGCTAGCTAACGTTTCACTGTATCTCACCGTGGTGTAGTCGGACTTTCCCGACAGGCGGTGACATGCTAGCAAATGTGCCTAATGTTAGTGATTAGCTCTAGCTAGCTAACGTTAAATATCCCTGCCCTTGTGGACTAGCTAGCATGTCACTACCCGTGGGGTCTGGGGAAAAGTCGGGACTACATGAACGATGAGCTAACGTAACTAGCTAGCTAAACGTTAGCTAAATATTCCTGCCCTGGTGGTCTAACATTATCTAGCATGTCACCATGTGGAAAAGTGTGACTAGACGAACTGTGAGCTAACGTTAACTAGCTGGCTAGCTAGCTTGTGGGCTCAATGTTTTCCCATACAAAACAC